AATTAGGTGTCAACGATAGCCATGTGATGTGAGTATCAGTCACATCGCAAAAGCCTGAATTTTGCCTGAAACTCTCAGACTCTCTCTTGGAGGAGAGACGAAATGTTTCATTAGAGAAGAACCCGTCCAGAAGACCTATACAATTTATTTCTTTTTGATTTTTTACCTGGATTACTGAGATGCATCAGGACAGATAAAAGATGAGTGTAGGCTACTTCCTGCCATGGCTTGTTTACTCTCCATCTGGGTGGAGAGAAGCAGGTCTAATGGAACAAATCCACCACCACCTGGCTTCCATTTGGATTACTGCATCTGACAGAAGATCAGTTATCCAGCATTTTCAATAAGGACATGTTTTGCTCTTCAGTAGTAAACTTTTTGCCTGGGACTCTTGAAAATATGAAAACCACTCTATCTATTGTAGTAGCATGCAGGCTAACACAGCATAAAGACACCGCCACCTTCTGGATGAAAGGAGGTTTAATTTAAAGATTACCTTTATACAATGTACTATATCACGTTTTTCCAATATAATTATCATATTTTTCCAATATAATATTGTAGGGTTCACCTCAAGTGGCCTCGGATGGGCCTTTAATGAGACAAAAACTCTGTTCCACTCTGAACTGAATTTAGGCCGTGACAGGTCACTAACCGTGGAGACGTTCTCTTCCTCTTAATCAGATAATAAACAGAATAATCTTCTTTTTATTTGATTTATTTTTCATTTAACGAAGAGTGTTGATGCATCTGTTAATCAGAGATGATGCTCGTCAAAGTTACATGACAGAAGTAGAAAAACGTTTCTCTCATTGTGCTTTAAGGTTTATTTATAAAGGTTTATAAAAAAGAACCAGAGAATGTGATTACAATGTTTTATTGTGTTTGGTGCAAACTACTGTCTTTATTTAACCATAAACAGTAATATAATTGAGGATTTTCTTGAGACAATATTTCATTTAACTAAACTAATGAATGGTTGAACACAAATTACATAATCAAAACACACTTCAATCACACTTTATCAACAAAAAATACACAGGTTTATTGACTTTGACAATCTTGTGTTAATTCAACAAAACTGTTCCATTTGCTGCCAAAGCAAAAACATCTGTGTGCAACTATATCCACTGTTGGATGAAGTAAATCCAACATGTTTTTTTTTCTTTCAGTGAATGATCGAAGAACAGTTTGACCACAGACAAGAACACCGTTTGGTGACACACATTACTCAGCGCCCACAAGGTCGTCTCATGTCCACATTTCTGTTCGCAGGTGAACTGAAGACGAGCCTGTACATGTATCCTTTTGCTGCAGGAGTTCAAACCACCACAGCATAAAGTCTGCAAAAAATGTGCATCTTTCATCACAACATAAGAAACTGACATCTGCAAATACAACAATCAAATTAAATTAAATAGGAATCTACAAATCAGCAAGCACCAGTAGCAGTGATCAAATCTTAATAAACAAAAATACAGTACATGGTATTAAAACCATAAAAGCACTTAAAAAGAGTAACATCTTAAAAACAAGTAAAAAAAATCATCCAACCATGGTAATGTTTGATACCACCAATATTGTTAAATAATAAAGAACTACTATAAAAATGAAAACTTGAATCTAAATTTACATTACATAAGCATGAATACACAACATGTAACACGTAAGATGAGTGACAGATAGAGCAGGTGTCACTGCACTTTAACCAGGTGGAAAAACAAGCAGTTCCCACCAATCGCCTTGAATGATTTAGACAAGATTTCAATAGTTTAGTTACTTTCCACTGTGTTCCTTTAATTATTTACATTACCTGAAATGACTGAAGTATCAAAGTATGAATAATTTGATTTTAGAATCAATTTTAGAGCATAAAGTTCAGATATCGATGATGTCAATATTTCCGTGTCGATCCACACATCACTATCTAACCAGTTACTAACGCTCCATATTTGCCACAGCAGCTGACCGTGTCCAAAACAAACATATATTAAAACTCAAATTTACAGATTTTGACCTAAAGTTGTGTGTCCCAGCAGCTGTCATCCTCACAAGCACTAATGTATCTGGCTAGATCTTGTACTGTTGCATGAGATTCCAAACATAATTTACAATGTTTGATCAAAAAGGCTTCAACTTTTTTGTTCTCACTCGAGAATGCTGGTCAGTTTAATAAAATCAAAGGTGTTAGGCTTTGCATTCCTTCAAGGAATGCTATTTTTCTGGCATTGCACAGCATTGCAGGCAAAAACATGACATATGACATGACCCTTACAGGGCTGCCTGTTTTATAAAAGAGAGAGACTTGCTGAAACTTGTACATGATGGCATCTTTTACTGATGAGGAACAAAGAGAAACAAAATGCAGCTCAGTAACTTAGCTAATAATATGTTCAACTAAACAATCCACAACTATTTTAGGTAAGGAAACAAAACAGGATGTTTTCCCAACAATAATGAAAACTCATCCTGTTCCCTGCAGGACTTCAGGACTCATCACAGTTCTGCTAAACGACCACGCAGACCAGTCCATGTGCTTCGGTCCTACTTTCTTTTAACAAATAAGCTAGTTGTTAGAGTTTTGATGTGTGTATTTTACCCTGTTTTACTGTACTTTTTATGCATGTAATTTTGAAAACTTTCTTGCTTTTATTGTGAAGCATTTAGTGATTTTATATTTAGCGACAGTGGTCAAATGGAGTTGACTTTTAATGAATGATAATAAAATTAATGACAAAGATCTTGCACAATATTGTTAACCTTTAAAGCCACTCTGAATATGTGTTAGGGATCAGTCTCAGCTACAAGCAAACAAAAAATTATTTCAATATGCGTTATTTTTGCAGTCATATGTATTTTTGTGTTTTTAAGGTTGGTAGACTGTGGTGAAAATATTCAGAATTGTTGATTCCAAATGTTAATCAGTTGTAGATGCACATTTGTTGATTACGTGCTGCAAGTTTAATTAAAATTCATTCAGTGGTTCATGAGCTTTTTGTTTGTTTGTTTGTTTGTTTACTGAAACAAAACGAAAAATCTGAAAAAACTTATACAATATGTGTCTTCATTTATTTTTCATTCTTAACAAATGTACAATAGAGCAGAACTGCATTCTAAATTAATTAATTAAAAAGTAAACAATAGAGCACAAAAGGGTCAACTTATGAGACAAAATATTTTTAAGAGTTAATGCTTTTGCAAGTTTCTGATTATTTAAATTATGTTTTCCAATATAAACAGTGTATATTTTTAAGTCAGTTTCTTTAAAATTGTCATATGAGATAATTTTTTCACTCCATTTCATATTGTGGACATATATTATTGGACTAGGTCTATGATTATAATTAGATTTTTTTAAGTTTATTGCTTTCTTTAAAAACAACATCAATTCAATATATAATAAAAATACAAATCATAAATTAAATTAAATTAAATGAAAGGTAGCAGAAGAAATCTTATTATATCTGCCTCTTTTTCTCAAGTAAATAAATTCAATCAAAATAGTGTTCAAAGATTCAAGATTGACTATATATACAGTAGTTCATCATCTAAAGAAAAAGTTGAATTTTTATAGATAAACAATATTTGCAGTTTTGATAATGAGCTATTTTGTCAAACAAATGAAACTCCCATTGATCTCTGTGCTCGTATCTGATTGGCTGTGGTGCAGGTTCTTGTGCGCATGCGCGATTGCAGCTCTGGTATTTAAAGTTCAGGGGAAACTTTTAGGTGAGCTTGACGTTTGTTTTTTTAAAACGTAAAGATGATAACTGCAGTGTTAAGCAGCGTTTTAACCGGATTACTGGCCCTGCTCGTTTACCAAAGGGTCGCTTATCCCTTCTTCTGGGCGGATTTCATGTTTTACCTCAAACTTCAGAGGTTCAAGCGAACGGCGCAGGCTCGCGCGCACCGGGGAGTCGTCACGTTCCTCGACTGTTTCCTCCACCAGGCTGAGAGGAATCCCACGAAACCTTTCATCGTCTTTGAGAACCAGACCCTCACGTACCAGGACGTGGACGGGAGAAGTAACCGGATCGCGAGGGCTTTCCAAACGTGGGGCTCTTTGAAACAGGGCGACACCGTTGCCCTGTTGATGTGCAACGAGCCGGACTTTGTGTGCGTGTGGCTGGCTCTGTGTAAACTGGGCTGCGAGGCGGCCTTCATCAACACTAATGTTAAAGCTGAAGCTCTTCTTCACTGTTTCCGGAGCTGTGGAGCCAGGACGCTGGTTGTCGGACCAGGTAAGACTTTTATTATTTGAGCTGAAGGGTTTCCGGAGTCCACAAGTTCCCCCAGGGATGGGAGTGGCTCCAGCTGACAGGGCTGTTCAACGGGTGGACCGCGGGCCACATCCGGTCCACAGGTGACTTCAGTCTGGCCCGCAGATGAGTGCATTCAAAAAGATAACTTTTTTTTAGACTTTATTGACTTCATATGCCTGTCAATGACGTAATAAAGTTTATAAAATTAATTTTTTTAATCTAGATTATTTTACATTGGATTTTAAATAAAAAATATCATTGATAAGGGTGTAAGAAAATATCAATACACTGAAATATCGCGATATTTCATTTCCCGACACTGTATTGATATTCTAAATCCCTGTATCGATTTTTAATTAAGGTTTAAAATGTCAACTTTCCTGCCAGCCGTTCATTTTTATGTTGTAGTTCAGCCTCTGACCACTAGTTGGCAGCAGTGAGCCAGCCATTTGGCTCCTCTACCTCTTGAGGTAGAGGCTATTGTTAAGTGTTGGGTGACCATATTGTTAATTAATATCCATCCATCCATTTTCTGTACACGCTTCTTCCTTTTCAGGGTTGCGTGGGTCACTGGTGCCCATATCCAGCAGACAC